GACCATCCTGGCTAAAACGGTGAAACCCCGTCTCCACTAAAAAATACAAAAAAATTAGCCAGGTATGATGGCGCAGCTTGTGGTCCCAGCTACTCGGGAGGCCGAGGCAGAAGAATGGCGTAAACCTGGGAGGCAGAGTTTGCAGTGAGCCGAGATCGTCCCACTGCACTCCAGCCTGGGCGACAGAGTGAGACTCCGCCTCAAAAAAAAAAAAAAAAAAAAAAAGAGAATATAATATATGCAGTACACAAACAAGGGGACTCTCAGTGCTAGGTGCACTTCTAATTTAAAAATTTTCCCAAAAATGAAGCATTGGCAGAAAAATTTGAATGTTTGTGGACAGATTAAATGCTTTTTAGCTTTTTAAAAAATTTTTATTTTTTGAGACAGGGTCTCTCTCTGTCGCCCAGGCTGCAGTGCAGTGGTGCAATCTTGGCTCATCACAACCCCTGCCTCCCTGGTTCAAGCCAGTCCCGTCCCTCAGCCTCTTGAGTAGCTGGGATTACAGGCGTATGCCACCATGCCTGGCTAATGTTCGTATTTTTAGTAGAGACAGGGTGTCGCCATGTTAGCCAGGCTGGTCTAGAACTCCTGACCTTAAGTGATCCGCCTGCCTTGGCCTCTCAAAATGTTGGGATTACAGGCGTGAGCCAGCACGCCCAGCAAACACTTTTTTTTTTTTTTTTTGAGACGGAGTCTCACGCTGTTGCCCAGGCTGGAGTGCAGTGGCGCGATCTCGGCTCACTGCAAGCTCCGCCTCCTGGGTTCACGCCATTCTCCTGCCTCAGCCTCCTGAGTAGCTAGGACTACAGGCGCCCGCCACCGCGCCCGGCTAATTTTTTGTATTTTTAGTAGAGATGGGGTTTCACCGTGGTCTCGATCTCCTGACCTTGTGATCCGCCTGCCTCGGCCTCCCAAAGTGCTGGGATTACAGGCTTGAGCCACCGCGCCCGGCCACACTTTTTAGTTTACTATCACCAACAGAGTACCAAACAATTTTCATCACCCCAAGAATTTCCTAACTACTCTCCTTTGTGTCAAACCTCTTCATCCCTAACACTTGCTGATTACTGATCTCTTCTTTGACCTATAATTTTTTTTTGAAAATATCATATAAGAAATCCTATATATATATAACCTTTTGAGGCTAGCTTCTTTTATTTAAGCTGTGAGAATTTGTGCTATATAGCACAAATTCTTCAGAAGGTCCAGGAACAGTCCAGATAAAGAGTCCAAAGTAAGCCATACTATTGGTAGCAGGAAGACTTTACTAGCACAAGAGTATTATTGTTAGGTTAGTGTATCCCCACAGTGGGCATCAATCAAATTTGGTACTCTGTTGGTGATAGTGAATCTATGCAAACATTAAAATTCTTATAACTGTACACCAAAAATGTTTATTTCACTGTATGTAAATTTACATATCTTGAAAAGTATAAAAGTTATCATAGCTTGATGACACTAACCTATTTTCATGTGCACAAGAAGCCTTCTTCTAGTGATTCTGATGCCAATGGGCTCCCATCTCCATTCTGGGAAATATTGTGCATAGCTATTAAAGTTGATCTAAGTTTCCATGTTCTGATTCTTCATTCTCCAAATATTTATATGATGGAAAAGGGATGGGAAGTTCAATTTTGGAAAACCTAAATTCTTAGGTACCTATGAGACATTCAAGTGGGGGATACTGAACAGCTAGTTGTACACAGGGACCTGAAGCTTAAGATCTGGGGTGGGAAAACTGTCATCGGCAGAGGTATGGAGTCATGGAAGTAGATGAGATTTGTCTTGGGGAATGTACACAGTGAGAAAAGCAAAGGGCCCTTGGCGAATAATGATGTTTCAAGACTCCACAGACAGAGTGCTCATAATGGTATGTAGAGAAGGAGAAGGACCTACCAGATGGATAGGACAGTTTGTTGTCACAGAACTCAGGGAAGAGAGAAGACCAGGTCTATGGTACAGAGCGATTATGTTAAAACACACACACACACACACACACAAACAAAAAAACCCAGACTATTAGGAATGAAGAATGAATGGTATGTGAGGAACTGAAGACAGTGAGTGCAGAAACATCTCCAGGGGATTCCTCTAAGTATTTAAGAGTATAACTCGGCCGGGCGCGGTGGCTCAAGCCTGTAATCCCAGCACTTTGGGAGGCCGAGACGGGCGGATCACGAGGTCAGGAGATCGAGACCATCCTGGCTGACACGGTGAAACCCCGTCTCTACTTTAAAAATACAAAAAATTAGCCGGGCGAGGTGGCGGCGCCTGTAGTCCCAGCTACTCGGGAGGCTGAGGCAGGAGAATGGCGTGAACCCGGGAGGCGGAGCTTGCAGTGAGCTGAGATCCGGCCACTGCACTCCAGCCTGGGCGGCAGAGCGAGACTCCGTCTCAAAAAAAAAAAAAAAAAAAAAAAAAAGAGCATAACTCTAGAAAGAAACTCTGGAATTTGAACTGAGGTTCCATCACTTACTAGCTGTGTAACCTGGGGTTAAGCTGTTGTGCCTCTTTAACTTAGTTTCCTCATCTGTACAATCGCATCAGTAGGATTTATTTCATGAGGTTGTAAGATCAAAGTCTTTAAGATCCGTGAGGAGGCCAATAGTGAAGCTTAAATGAATTAATGATGTAAAGCTCTGAGAACAACAACTGGCAGAAAGTAAGCACTATGTGTTAGATGATGGTGATAGCAATATTATCACCACCACCATCATCATCCTTTTTAAGAAGTTTTGGGCCAGGCAGGGTGGCTCACGCCTGTAATCCCAGCATTTCGGGAAGCTGAGGCGGGTGGATCACCTGAGGTCAGGAGTTCCAGACCAGCCTGACCAACATGGAGAAACCCTGTCTCTACCAAAAATACAAAATTAGCCAGGCATGGTGGCGCATGCCTGTAATCCCAACTACAGGAGGCTAAGGCAGGATAATCACTTGAACCCAGGAGGCGGAGGATGCGGTAAGCCGAGATCGTGCCATCGCACTTCAGCCTGGGCAACAAGAGTGAAACTCTATCTTAAATAAATAAATAAAATAGTTTGGTTGTGAAGGGAAAGATTCACAGGGCAATATGAGGAGGGGATGTGGGATCAAAGGAAGAATTTTTTTTTTTTTTGCCACCCAGAGAAGACACCTAAGCATGATGAAATACTCATAAGAAAGTAGAAAAGTAGAAAAGAAAGGCCGGATGCAGTAGCTCATGCCTGTAATCCCAGCACTTTGGGAAGCCGAGGCGGGTGGATCACGAGGTCAGGAGATCGAGACGATCCTGGCTAACTTGGTGAAACCACGTCTCTACTAAAAATACAAAAAATTAGCCAGGTGTGGTAGCACACGCCTGTAGTCCCAGCTACTCAGGAGACTGAGGCAAGAGAACTGCTTGAACCCAGGAGGCGGAAGTTGCAGTGAGCCGAGATTACGCCACTGCATTCAAGCCTGGGTGACAGAGTGAGACTCTGTCTCAAAAAAAAGAAAAGTAGAAGAGGTTGAAAGAAGGGACGAATGATTGAAACCCTCACATTTAAAGGACTACCTTTAGGCCGGGAGCAGTGGCTCACACCTGTAATTCCAGCACTTTGGGAGGCTGAGGCAGGTGGATCACGAGGTCAGGAGTTCAAGATAAGCCTGGCCAACATGGTAAAACCCTGTCTCTACTAAAAATACAAAAATTAGCTGGACATGGTGGCACATGCCTGTAATCCCAGCTACTCAGGAGGCTGAGGAAGGAGAATTGCTTGAACTGGGACACAGGAGGCAGAGGTTGCAGCGAACTGAGATAGCCCCACTGCACTCCAGCCTGGCCTACAGACTCAAAACAACAACAACAACAAAAAAAACTATCTTTATTTCTGGAGATGGAGTCTTGCTCCATGGCCAGGCTGGAGTGCAGTGGCGTGATCTCTGCTCACTGGGAGTAGCTGGGATTACAGGCACACACCACCACACTCGGCTAATTTTTGTATTTTTAGTAGAGACGGGGTTTCACCATGTTGGCCAGGATGGTCTTGGTCTCCCGACCCTGTGATCCTCCTGCCTCAGCCTCCCAAAGTGTTGGGATTACAGGTGTGAGCCACCACACCTGGCCAAAAGCAAGGATATTTCATCCAAAGTAACAGCAAAGGAAACAACGAGGGATGGAAATACAGTACAACTTCTAGGAAAGGACAACACAGAAAGTTGAGTATTTATCTGACAGTTACTATTCTCACTATAAAGCAGAAGGTAAGGTCAAAGTCGTTAAGATCCCCAAGGAAGCCAATAGGAAAGGAAGACAGAAGCCGTGCAGGACCAAAATAACACATTTCCTGGCACTTGTTATGTCCAGGAATTCTGCTAAGTGCTCTAATCAATCAGGCTCATTTAATCGCCACAATGGTATGTGGTAGATGCCATGTGGTAGTTTTTGTTATCACTACCCCCTCAGCATTCACACAAGAAAAAGAGGCTTAAAGAAGGTGTTGAAGTCACAAAACTAGAAAATGGTGAAACTGGGATTAGAACTCAAGTCAATTACTTGAAAGTTTGAGCTACACTGTACTGCCATATGGTCTATTGCCTCTTTAATATCATTACCTTCTCTCATTCTTAGAGAAACTTAGAAAACTCCCTTTCCATAGTGTCAAAAAGAAAAACACAGTGAGAGATGAGGATACAGAATCACAAACTGATTCACTGCTCCCATTAAACTAAGATGGTTAAAAAAAGATTCTGAATGTCTTTAAAAGGAAATGCACTCTTTATTTTTTACATAGTCCCCCTACAGAGACTTCACACTTCACATTAAGTGCCTGGTCCCTGACAGCATTTATAAGATCTGCAATGCAACCTTTAATTTAGGAAGTCAATGAAGACAGGAGAAAAAGAAAATAAGTTCCAAATTACTATTTTCCTTTCAGTTGGTATTAAGTGCAAAGCTACCACAATTTCAGAAGTTTGAAAAAATTTGTTTCTAAGTGCAGATGGGTGAAATGGAAATATATCATAAACATCAAACATACCTTGATATCATTGTCTATTCCACCAGAAATAATCTGATCACTTGTGTCATTGAAGGTCACAGCTAACACCTGGTACGTGTTCTGAAATGTCTGGATGGCTGCTTTCTTCCGGATGTCCCAAAGCTGAAGCAAAGGACAACAGGGTCTATCATTAATATCATTCTAAGAAGTAACTGCACAGTACAAATATCCCTAAGTACAAGGACTTTGTGAACATGAACACATCTATAATTGGGATCCCATTTCACTAACTCCTGGATATCCTAATAACACACATGGTAAGCAGTGTCCTCAATTTTGCCAAGACATTTGAAGGCTGGTGAAACAAAACTTCAGTTATATTTTCAGACTTCTTTGTTAAAGTGAATAAACAGAGTTAAATCAACATACTCTTAGAATGGAATTCCACTAATTACTTGGTTCATATATTTTTTAGGACAACAAGGATATCAGACAATTTTTTCAAACTGTAGATACTAATTCATTAGTGGGCTGCAACCCACATTTAAAAAAATAGAGAGCGGGTACGTCAGTGAAAATAGTATAATAAACAATGACAAAAGCTTGTCCTTCCACAAAACAACAAATGAACCAGCAAAAACCTGTCAGAATCAACTATCGGAATTCTCATAACTAATCAAAAGTTTATAGTAACCAGGCAAACCCTTAATGAGGAAAAAGGAAACAAAAAACCCCTGAGTCCCAGTAAAAGGGTTTTGTAGTGTTTTAACTTGTGCTGGCTCTGTCTCCCGCTCAGCAACAGCTTTGAAGATAACCCATATTCCCAGTATGGTTTCCTAGTACTGAGGAAGCAAAGGGGGGCCTATTTCTTATTGTCAAAGAATAAACAATAAAAATTGTTTATTTTTACTTGTCTGGTGGCTCCCTGAAGGATAAGCTCAAAGGACTTACATTTATTTTTTTATTTATTTATTTTTTTGAGACGGAGTCTTTGCTCTGTCGCCCAGGCTGGAGTGCAGTGGCGCCAACTCGGCTCACTACAAGCTCCACCTCCTGGGTTTACGCCATTCTCCTGCCTCAGCCTCCCGAGTAGCTGGGACTACAGGCGCCCGCCACCTCGCCCGGCTGGTTTTTTGTACTTTTAGTAGAGACGGGGTTTCACCGTGTTAGCCAAGATGGTCTCGATCTCCTGACCTCGTGATCCGCCCGTCTCGGCCTCCCAAAGTGCTGGGATTACAGGCGTGAGCCACCGCGCCCGGCCAGGACTTATATTTATTTTGTCTAACTTGGAACTTTCCTTGAAAACATTTAAAGGAAAGGATATTATTAGCCTCTGGTGCCTGGGGGCAAGGAAAAACAGTTGGGGCAAAAATACAAACCAAAAACCTTGGGAGGAAGGGCTGGGGAAGGAGACAATTTGGGGAGTAAGAGTTTTGAAAAGCACCGACATATTCCTGGCTATCTATCTTATCTATCTATCTATCTATCTATCTATCTATCTATCTATCTATCTATCTATCTATCTACCTACCTACCTACCTACCTACCTACCTACCTACCTACCTACCTACCTACAGAGTCTCCCTCTGTCACCCAGGCCGGAGTGCAGTGGTGCGATCTCGGCTCACTGCAACCTCCACCTCACGGGCTCAAGCAATTCTCCTGTCTCAGCCTCCCGAGTAGGTGGGATTACAGGCGCGTGCCACTATACCCAGCTAATTTTTGTATTTTTAGTAGAGACAGGGTTTCGCCATGTTGACCAGGCTGGTCTCACACTCCTGGCCTCAAGTGATCTGTCTGCCTCGCCCTCCCAAAGTGCTAAGATTACAGGCATGAGCCACCATGCCTGGCCCATCCCTGGCAATCTAGACCACTTGCATGTCCAGGGCTGGGCACATACTTAGAAAAGATCTGAGAAGGCCATAAGCTCTCTGGTTGACCTTCAGGCTCTGCACAAGCAGGAAGTGAAAGCTAAGGAGAGATGTAAACTGCACAGCAAGGAGTTGAAGGCAGGCTCCAACATACCAAAAGACAATCTGCAAAGACTGGGAGAGCTTTTGTTCTTGTTGTTGTAGGTAATTTAGGAAACTTCTGTCATTCACTAGCTGACCACTAAGCTAACAAAAAAAGAATTCAGTGGTAACACAGGACAAAGAATACAAACTTTACAAAATTAGTTCAAAAATTCACTAAACAGGCCAGGTGTGACAGCTCACACCTGTAATCCCAGCATTTTGGGAGGCCGAGGTGGATGGATCACTTGAGGTCAGGAGTTCGAGACCAGCGTGGCCAACATGATAAAACCCTATTTCTACTAAAAATACAAAAATTAGCTGGTCATGGTGGTGTGCCCCTGTAACCCCAGCTACTCAGGAAGCTGAGGCACAAGAATCACTTGAACCCAGAGAGTGGAGGCTGCAGTGAGCTGAGATCACACCACTGCACTCAGAGCTACAGAGCGAGACTTCGTCTCAAAAACCAACCAACCAACCACCCTCACCCTGCCCCAACCCATAGAAAGTCACTAAACAAACAACTACAACAAGCAGCTCTGGGGACCTAATTTCCAGAGTTGCCACGCTATAATACTTAAATACCTAGTTTTCAAAAAATATAAGGCATGCAAAGAAGCAAGTAACTATGGTCCACATAGAAGGAAAAAGTAGTCTTCTCAACAAATTATGCTAAGACAACTGGCTAACCACATGCCAAAGAATGAAGGTAAGCCCCTGCCTAACATGATACACAAAAATTAATTCAACATGGATCAAGGACCTAAATGTAAGAGCTAAAACTGTAAAATTCTTAGAGGGCCAGGTGTGGTGGCTCATGCCTGTAACCCCAGCACTTTCGGAGGCCGAGACAGGAGGATGGCTTTAGCCCAGGAGTTAGTGACCAGCCTGAGCAACATGGTGATTCCTCGTTTCTACACAATAAAAACAAAAAGTTGCGTGTGGTTGTATATGCCTGTAGTCCCAGCTACTTGGGAGGCTGAGATGGGAGGATCACTTGGGCCAGGGAGGTTGAGGCTGCAGTGAGCCGTGATTGCGGCTCTGTACTCCAGCTTGGGTGAGACTGGCGGGATCTTGGCCACTGAAACCTCTGCTTCCATGTTCCAGCAATTCTCCTGCTTCAGCCTCCTGGGTAGCTGGGATTACAGGTATGCGCCACCACGCCCAGCTAATTTTTGTATTTTTAGTAGAGACGGGTTTCACCATGTCGGCCAGGCTGGTCTCAAACTCCTGACCTCAGGTGATATGCCTGCCCCGGCCTCCCAAAGTGGTGGGATTACAGGTGTAAGCCACTGCACCCGGCCAAGACCCCATCTTTTAAACAAACAAACCCTTATAGCTCTACATTTTTAAAGCGTGGATAACACAGAGAGGGCTCAGAGATGTTTCAATAAATGAATGACACACTTCTGAAGATGAACCACAATAAATGTTTAAGAGTATGGGTCATTTCATTCAGCAGAAAGAGACTTTGGGGTGACTGTTCCAAGTTTTAAAGGGCTGGCATCAAAAACAAAGGAATCAGCCATGGAACCTTAGTGAAGGTCACAGGCTTAAATTCAATCCTGTAGTCAACAAGGACAGTCTTGAGTAGGATCTGTGCCAAGATGCCTCTTCCTCCCAATTTTCATGGTTTAGGATGGAAAGTAGTTTCTTCTTTGTTCACGTAAATATGAACTAAAAATCAGTTCATTACTCAGATAAATGGTCCAAAAACAATGCTTTACTCCTGTCCTACATGCCCAACATCTCCCCCTCCCCCAACTCCTGTGGTCCAAGTCCAAACTTCTTAACTCAGAATTCAGGGCCTTAATAATTTAGATCCTATATATTTTATAAACTGTACTACAATCTTTGTCTCAATAGATCTTTCACTCAAGTCAAATCTATCTTTGTCTTTCTCCTAAAAGTCATGGTAGTCAAAGTTTGTCTAAAATAATTTAGAATTTTACTTCCAGATAACTACCACTTTTAATATTTTATTTTGAAACAATCATAAATTTATAGAAAACTTGGGAGTAAAAAGAGCACTTTTTTTGGTTTAAATAATTTGAGAGTAAGTTGCTTACCCAATGCCTTATCACTTTTTTTTTTTTTTTTTTTTTTTTTTGGAGATGGAGTCTCGCTCTGTTGCTCAGGCTGGAGAGCAGTGGCGTGATCTCCAATCACTGCAACCTCCACCTCCCGGGTTCAAGCAGTTCTCCTGCCTCAGCCTCCCAAGTAGCTGGTATTACAGGCATCTGCCACCACGCCCAGCTTTTTTGTATTTTTAGTAGAGACAGGGTTTCATCATGTTGGCCAGGCTGGTTTCGAACTCCTGACCTCAAGTGATCCACCTGCCTAGGCCTCCCAAAGTGCTAGGATTACAGGCATGAGCCACTGCGCCTGGCCCCTTATCACTCCTAAATAGTGTTTGTCCTACAAAGATGTTCTCCTACATCATCTCAACATAACCATCAAAATCAAAAAATACAGATACACTATCACCATTTTATCCTCAAATCCCACTCAAGTTTTATCCCAGTTATCCCAAATGTCTTATTACACAAGGATTCAGTCTGGAATCGTGTTAAATTTAGACTCCAGCCTGGAAGACTCTCTCAAACTTTTCTTGAGTTTTATGAACTCAACACTTCTGAAAGTTACAGGATAGTTATCATCCCCGATTTAGGTTTATCTTGTTTCCTCTTGATTAGACTTAAGTTATACATCTTTGGTAGGAATATCACAGAAATGATGCTACATCTTTGTTGTATCCTAGCAAATGGCTCATGATTTTGACTTGTCCCATTACTAATTAGGTCGATTTGATAATTTAGTTAGAATTTTCTTTTGACAAGATAAGCCTTGACAAGCATAGGGCTTATCTTGTACTTTCACTGCCTCAGGGCTGAAATAGGAACCCTGGTTCCTTTTAGTGGAAAACAGTATTTAAAGGCCAAGACCTGTGCAATAAGGGGTGCTCATGCTATTGGGGTCTTGTTGCTCCTAAACCTTTTCAGTGGACAGTCAGGCAATATATATTTAGGTACACACACACCTACACACTCACACATTTATGTCTATTTTTTTCTATATGTATCTGTTTCTATATTGAATGTTGTGAGTTCACACTTATACCTCACACAACATTCAGTTTAGTCTTCTCTTTTGTACTGGTAACTCCATTCTTGGACAGAGAAATCAGCCTCCCATTAAACTCAATATATTCACTTATTTGATTACGCTTCCTGCATGCAACCAATTTCTCATATTCTCTTCCACCCTTCTCCTGCATAATTATCCTCCTTTCCCTACTTGAATTGTGATTCCAATTCTTGATTGAACCCATGTGGGACCCTTCTTTACCCAACTTGGGTCATTCCTCTGTGTGAACACCCTCATCACTCTGCTACGGCTCCTTTCCAGTCTGCACTTCTCCAGGAATGCTGTCGTCATCTTGCTCAGTCTCAGACTCCCTACACCAAATCGTTTCTACCCTGTGTGGATGCCCTCAATTCAGGCTTTGACATCCACACTCTCCCTGTACTGCTTGATGTACTGACGACCCTTTCACCCAATTAGGGCACTGACTCTCCATGTTGGGCTGCTGTCCCTCCCTCACCCTCAAATTCTCCACACCGGTTACCTACCCTGTGTTGTATGGATGCCTTCCTCACTCTCTAACTACTCCCCCTACAATGTACGGCCCTGCCCTGTGTGGATGCTCTCCTTACCACACTTGTGCTCTGACACTCCACTCTGAGCCACCTTGGCCCATCTCTAACCAGAGCACCTTCCCTGCTTTGGCCTACATAACTGGCTTTAGGACTGAACTGCTCATGAAAGGGAAATATATATATATACATATATATATGAGTACATACACATATACACACAGTATTTCACTTAACTTTATTAGAAGAATGTACTTGATAAGAAGTTTGAAAACGATCTGTATGAATAATGCCCAGACCGCTACTTTTAGACTAAAAATGCAAGTGCTGTTGGAAACCTTTGCTTTCTGTTAAGCACTCTGACATGTAAAAAGCAACATGACTTTTCTTTCTTTTAAACTGAAGTTATTCAATTCCTGTACTTGCAACCTAGTAACAAAAAAAAACAGTAACACAAAGCATTCCAACTTCACAAGTAACTGAAAAGTACATTGCAAAAAGCTGTTAAATGATGTCTTAAATATACTGACATTAAAAATAGGAGCTGGTTAAAAAGCAGTCATCTTTAGGTGATGTGACATATTGCTCATTAAAAAAAGTATTAACTTGAGTAACACGGTAAAAATAACTATTCCAAATCATGTTTAATTAAGGCAGAAGAAAAGCAAAAAACCAAAAGAAGGAAGACAGGAAGGACATACACTCTTTTTCTACTCCCTAAATAGTTCCTAGATGTTTATTATAGCAGGCCCTCAATAATAATGTTAACAAAATTCACTCGGGCATTTCCACCTCTTACTATCTTCTGAAATGACAATTAGCAAATCAGCTACTGTTAAGACTCTCCAACTACAGTGACATCTAGGTAAGAGCTCTGGTTTAGAAACCAATCTTAAACCACAGACTCTCCTCCCATGCAACCATCAAGGGGCCCAAGTGATTAGGTATAAGAAAATCACTCAGTAGAAAAACATCTCAGCCAAGTGTCGTGGCTCACACCTGTAATCCCAGCACTTTGGGAGGCCGGGGAGAGGGTGGGGCGGCAGATCACAAGGTGAGGAGTTCGAGACCAGCCTGGCCAATATGGTGAACCCATCCCTACTAAAAATACAAAAATTAGCCGGGCGTGGTGTGGTGCCTGTAGTCCCAGCTACTAGGGAGGCTGAGGAAGGGGAACTGCTTGAACCCGGGAAGCAGAAGTTGCAGTGAGCCGAGATCGCGCCACTGTACTGGTCGACAGAGCAAGACTCCATCTCCAAAGGAAAAAAAAAAAAAAAAAAAAGCAATTTGGCTGGGTGTGGTGGCTTATACCTGTAATCTCAGCACTTTGGGAGACCTAGGCAGGTGATTGCTCTGACTCAGGAGTTCGAGATGAGCCTGGGCAACATGGTGAAACCCTATCTCTACTGAAAATACAAAAATTAGGCAGGTATGGTGGTGCACACCTATAATCCCAGCTACTCAAGAGGCTGAGGCTGGGGAATCACTTGAACCTGGGAGGTAGAGGCTACAGTGAGCCAAGATTGTGCCACTGTACTCCAGCCTGGGCGACAGAGCGAGACCCTGTCTCAAAGAAAAAAAAAAAGCAAATTCATTAATTCATTTAAAAAGCAATAAGTATGGGGCTGCAGCCTCCCAGATGTACTCTTTTGAAGTCCCTCACTGTTTAATAATTAAAATGTCAACCAGAGTCCAAAATTCGTGTCAAAGAAATAATCAAATGGTTGGTACTATGATGTACTGTGTCCTTGTGTGCCTCTGAGATAAGTTATTATTTCTAGGTCTCAGTTTCCTTATTTATAAAATGAGGATGCTCAATGAGATCAGTGGCTCCCAGAATGTCAGACTGGCTACACTGAATCACTTGAAGGACACATTAAAATATCTGATTCCCATTGCAGATCCACTGAACTAGATTCTTTGGGTATTTTTAACAGGTTCTTCAGGTGATGACCATACAAAGAGAGGCTGGAAACCATCTGACTAAATGATGCTTAAGTTCCCATCTTGTGCTATACTAAAACCATTCACTGAACTTTTTATATATTGTCTGTAATCTCACAACAGCCTTTTTTTTTTTTCTTTTTTTGCTGCCTCCCTGTTGGTGGGGATACTCACAACAGCCTTGAAAAGACACGCATATTACTGTCGCTGTTCTTTTTTTTTTGAGACGGAGTCTCGCTCTGTCGCTCACGCTGGAATGCAGTGGTGCAATCTCGGCTCACTGCAAGTTCGGCCTCCGGGGTTCACACCATTCTCCTGCCTCAGTCTTCCGAGTAGCTGGGACTACAGGCGCCCGCCATCGCGCCTGGCTTATTTTTTGTATTTTTAGTAGAGACGGGGTTTCACCATGTTAGCCAGGATGGTCTCGACCTCCTGACCTCATGATTCGCTTGCCTCGGCCTCCCGAAGTGCTGGGATTACAGGTGTGAGACACCGCGCCAGGCCTATTTCGAGTAACAATTTATTCTATGGGTCTATTATTATTCTGTAGGGTAATTAAAACACGTATTAAATGTTTTATTTTAAATGGGGAAAAATTTCAAGTGTCTGTTATGGGAAATGACTGCTAAAATTAAGTTTTGCAGAGGAAGGTAGAGTATAAGTGGAAAGGCAAGATAAGGTTCACACTACATCACCTCAGAAACTGGAACACAGACAGACAATACCCACCTTAACTGTGCCATCGTCACTGCCAGTGCAGACAAGCTGAGGGCCTCTCCTGGCTGGATAACAGGAATTCACAAAGGAGGTATGTCCCTTTAGCCTTTTAACCCTCTCGCCTGTTTCACTATCCCACACAGCCACAGTTTTATCTGTGGATGCTGAGAAGAGCATACTAGAAAGTAAGAGAAAGAACACAAAAGAAGTGAAGATAAACAGTAACAATCTATCTTTCCTACTTGCCAAAAGGTGCCAAATTTTTCAAGATTTGCCACTTTGCCCATGATGCTGAAATGCCTCACTCTACCAAAATCCTATTTGTGCTTCAGGTCCAGATATAAGATCTGACCCTGTGAAGTTTAAAAAAGGGGGACCCTTCTTTGAGTCCCCATGACATACATCTAATGTAGCAGTTCGCTCTGTCTTTTCCACTTTTGTGATAGGTAACATTTTAAACACAAGACACCCTCTCACTTGGAAATGTTTAATAACTCCCTGGTGCTGCAGAGATCAGAGAGACTGTGGTACTCTGGACCCGACAGCTGAGTTACTCCAATCTTCTCTCTTTACCAAACTTTTTCTTTTGTCTCTGAGGACAATTTCTTTCTTTCTTTTTTTTTTTATTTTGAGATGAGATCTTGCTCTGTCACCCAGGCTGGAATCATGGCTCACTGTAGCCTCGACCTCCTGGGCTCAAGTGATCCTCCCAATTCAGCCTCCTGAGTAGCTGAGACCACAGGTCGGTGCCACTATGCCCAGCTAATTTTTAAAAATCATTTGTAGAGGCAAGGTCTCACTATGTTGCCCAGGCTGGTCTTCAACTGGGCTCAAGCAATCTTCCTGTCTCAGCCTCCTACAGTGATAGGGTTACAGGCGTAAGCAACCACACCCAGCCTCTGAGGATGATTTCTAAGTTATAACTGATCTTATAATGCTTTCTTTTTTCATTTTTTTTGAGATGGAGTCTCACTGTGTTGCCCAGGCTGGTTTTGAACTCTTGGGCTCCAGGAATCCTCCTGCCTTAGGATCCCAAATAGCTGGGATTATAAGCACATGCCACTGGGCCCAGCTTTCTAATGCTTTATTTAAAATGTATACAATGCTATGGAGCACCCTAAGATTTTAGAGGTCAGAAATGTAAAACAATGAATGTTTACCAGACTATCTAACAATGGAATTAAATTTGCATAGCCAGATTTCCATATTATCTATATTATAAAATAATATAGTCATTAAAATAATGTTTATGACATCAGATGTTGGCTGAGCAATGTTAAGAGAAAAAAGCAGCAAGTAAGATTGCACACATAGTTCTGGCCGGGTGCGGTGGCTCATGCCTGTAATCCCAGCACTGTGGGAGGCCGAGGCAGGCAGATGACAAGGTCAGGAGATCGAGATCATCCTGGCTAACACAGTGAAACCCCATCTCTATTAAAAATACAAAAAAATTAGCCAGTTGTGGTGGCAGGCACCTGTAATCCCAGCTACTCAGGAAGCTGAGGCAGGAGAATGGTGTGAACCCAGGAGACGGAGTTTGCAATGAGCCAAGATTGCGCCACTGCACTCCAGCCTGGGCAACAGAGCAAGATTCTGTCTCAGATTAAAAAAAAAAAAATTAAGTGATTATCTTTGGAGTGGTAGAAATATAGACTATTTTTTCATCTTTCTGCTTTTTTTGGTTTCTCAAAAGAAATGATTTTTATAATAAAAATAGCTGATTTCAGACCAGGCATGGTGGTTAATGCTTATAATCACAGCATTTCTGGCAGACTGAGGCAGGTGGACTGCTTGAGCTCAGGAGTAATATAGCAAGAATGAATTTTAAAAATTATCTGGGCATGGAGGCATGGACTTGTGGCCCCAGCTATTTGGGAGGCTGAAGTGGGAGGATCCCTCGAGTAGGAGGTTGAGGCTGCAGTGAGCTATGTTTGTGTCACTGTACTCCAGCCTACATACAAAAATCACATTCACTTTATGTCTTAAAAAGAGAAAACAAATTTGTCTGGGTTGTTGAAATGACAGATATAACATCTTTATATTCGCATACACAGACAATAAACACCTCACTTGGGGTGACAGTGATAAATCAGATACTAAAGTAGCTACCCAAAATTAGTACTTTTTGATGGCAGGGTCTCCTGAGAAAAGATGAAAGGTGAAAGGACACCAAGAAGAATTAGTATGAGAAGCTGTCATTCCATTATGCAGAATACTCACCTGCCATCTGTGTTGTAATGCAATTCCATCACTGCTCCACTGTGTCCTTTCAGTGTGGCATAGTTATCACAGTCACCATAGACATTCCACAACACTGTTAGGGAGACGGGGGTTCTGTGAGCATTACCAGGCAAAGGGTACTTATAAATTTATCAAAACAACAGATCTCAGGCTGGGCATGGTGGCTTACGCCTGTAATCCCAGCACTTTGGGAGGCCAAGGCGGGTGGATCACTTGAGGTCAGGAGTCCGAGACCAGCGAAACCCCGTCTCTACTAAAAATACAAAAATTAGCCGGGTGTGGTGGCAGACGCCTATAATCCCAGCTCTCGGGATGCTGAGGCAGGAGAATCACTTGAACCTGGGAGACGGAGGATGCAGTGAGCTGAGATCGCACCACCACACTCCAACCTGGGTGACAGAGTGAGACTCCGTTTCTAAAAAACCAACCGACCAACCAAACAATAAAAAACTATGTAGTTTGTCTGATGAAATTAAGCATATCAATAATTCGTATATGTTCTGCAAAGATCCCTAAGCCATCCAGACGTTTGGCTACCAGTAAGCTTAAGGATCACAGAGCCAGAACATCCAAATCAAAATGGGCAGTGAAGATGGGTATCATCCACTCGCCACCGAGGCAAAGAGTTAACAGAAAAGAGCCAAAGTGGCCGGGCGCGGTGGCTCAAGCCTGTAATCCCAGCACTTTGGGAGGCCGAGGCGGGCGGATCACGAGGTCAGGAGATCGAGACCATCCTGGCTAACACGGTGAAACCCCGTCTCTACTAAAAATACAAAAAGAAATTAGCCGGGCGTGGTGGCGGACGCCCGTAGTCCCAGCTACTCCGGAGGCTGAGGCAGGAGAATGGCGTGAACCCGGGAGGCGGAGCTTGCAGTGAGCCGAGATCACGCCACTGCACTCCAGTCTGGGCGACAGAGCGAGACTCCGTCTCAAAAAAAAAAAAAAAAAAAAAAAAAAGAAAAGAGCCAAAGAACTCATTTCATCTCATAATCTGGCAAGAGAGTAGCTAACAGAAGCATCTAATTTTTTTTTGCCCTTTGGCTTCATTTGCTAGAATATAAATAAAATGACTTTTTCTAAATGGGTATGAGAAATTCTACTTATTTCTCAAAAACGGAAATCTGGTCGTAGATCCTAATGATGTACACAGATTATTTAAGGGAGTTACCACTTTAGGATTCCTTCTTTCCCATATGCTAGCTAGGATTCTGGGTGTGAATTAAGAGGACCTTATACCTTTGGGAAAATAAAAGTTATTTCTCTCTTCATTACTGCCATTAACCTGTTATGTCTAGATTGCTAAGTGTCTTGGTAAATTAGCTGGAGATTTGCCTCTATGAGGAAGATATTCTCAAACCAGAACTCACTTTCCAACTAGTAAAATAATGGCTTCTGTATTTACCCCATGGACTCCAAGTTCTACACCCAAGATCATTCAGCATGTTCACGCCCCAATTTTAGCATATTAGCCATGCGGCCTGTTATGTTGCCAACATAGAGTGATACCTTCTGTGGCACCCAAGATTTAAAAAAAAAATATCACTCTCTGGCAGGAACAATTATTCCAGATTCAAAAACTATGCCTCACATATCAGTCGGTCAAATCCTGCAGATGCTAAGGTGGATCCGTTGGGGTGGAACTTGCAGCAGTATACTTCCCCTTCATGTCCAGAGAGCAGCATGATTGGGGCTTGAAGGGAGGAACACCTTGGAGGTCCCTAAACAAAAGAGAAGCACAAGGTAACTACTGCATACAGGCAAAGGAGACTACAAAATTAGGGGGTGGGGAGTGGAAGGAAAAGACCAGGAAAACAATGATTAGGTGGGTTTCATCTGACTCAGAGAATGGCACCTCTTCTCACATGAATGCCTCTAACTTGATACTCCCTGAAACTTTCCATCATCTACCTGTTATAATGACTCTTTTGTTCACTCTCTTGGCTCTTGTTGTATGACGAACTTTTTTTTGGAGATAGGGTCTCATTCTGTCACCTAGGCTGGACTGCATTGGTGTGATCATGGTTCACTGCAGCTTCAAACTCCTTGGCTCAAGTGATCCTCCTGCCTCAGCCTCCTGAGGATCTAGGACTACAGGCATGCACTAGCATAATGTGCTAATTTTTTTAGTTTTTGTGGAGATGAGGTCTTGCTACATTGCCCAGGCTGGTCTCAAACTCCTGGCCTCCCTCCTTGGCCTCCCAAAGCACTAAGATTATAGGAATGAGCCACCACATTTGGCCTGGCTCATTTAATGAATGACAGAACTGACTTTCCCAACAACCCTGCATGGTACGGAGTACTGGGTGAAATAGTTTTGTTTTATTTTTTGTGTGTGTGTTTTGAGACACAGTCTTGCTCTGTCACCCAGGTTGGCATGCAGTGGCGTGATCTCGGCTCACTGCAACCTCTGCTTTCTGGGTTCAAGGGATCTGGTGCCTCAGCCTCCCGAGCAGCCAAGATTACAGGCATGCACAACCATGCCCAGCTAGTTTTTGCATTTTTAGTAGAGATGGGGTTTCACCATGTTGGCCAGGCTGGTCTCAAACTCCCAGCCTCAAGTGATCTGCCTGCCTTGGCCTCCCAGAGTGCTGAGATTACAGGCATGAGCCACTGCGCATGGCCTATTTTTATTTCTTATTTTTTTCATAGCGAAGGGATCCTCAGCACGGGTGAAGTAGTTTTGATTATGGTCTTGGACACTAAGATGACACTTGGGCAATTCATCTAAACATGGGCTGATATGCTCACTTGTCAAATGGGAGAAGTATACTACCCATAATCCCCAAATCTCTTCAGCACTTTCCAGCACATTCTTACTTATTTATTTATTGGGAAGGAGTCTTGCTCTGTTGCCCAGGCTGGAGTACAATGGCATGATCTCATCTCATTGCAAACTCCGCCTCCTGGGTTCAGGCGATTCTCCTGCATCAGCCTCCTGAGTGGCTGGGATTACAGGTGCCCGCCACCAAGCCCCGCCACATTCATTTAGTTTTAAAAAATGTTATGTGCAGGCTGGGCACGGTGGCTCACACCTGTAATCCCAGCACTTGGGGAGGCTGAGGTGGGCAGATCACTTGAGGTTAAGAGTTTGAGACCAGCCTGACCAACATGGTGAAACCCCATCTGTACTTAAAAAAACACAAAAACTAGCCAGGCGTGGTGGTGGGCGCCTGTAATTCCAGCCACTCGGGAGGCTGAGGCAGGAGAATCGCTTGAACCCGGGAGGCGGAGGTTGTAGTGCGCTGAGATCGCGCCATTCCACTCCAGCCTGGGTGACAAAAGCAAAATCCCATCTTAAAAATAAAAAGTTATGTGCTAGGCACTGGGCAAACAGCTATGAACAAAATAAACAATGGAGCTTGCTGTTCCAGTGGGAAAGGGGGAAGGGAGGAGAGAAGGTGAGAGAAAACAAGCAAAATATATACTTGGTGTCATGTGCTATAGAAAAAAAGAAGGGATGGGCAAGGTGGCTCATGCCTGTAATCTCAGCACTTTGGGAGGCCAAGGTGTGCAGATTGCTTGAGCTCAGGAGTGAAATCCTGTCTCTACAAAAAAATACAATACAATTAGGTGTGGTGGTATGTGTCTGTGGTCCCAGCTATTCAGGAGGCTGAGGCAGAAGGATTACTTGATCCCTGGTGGCGGAGGATGCAGCGAGCCAGTGGTCAACACAGAGAGATTCTATCTCAAAAGAAAAAAGAGAGAGAGAGAGAGAGAGAGAGAGAAGCAATGTGGGTTCCACATTATGTGGTACTGCAATTTAAAACAGGGTGGTCAGGAAAACCCTCACTGAAAAAATTACATTTGGGCAAATATTCGCAGGAGCTGAATAATAAACCATGTGAACATTTGGGAAGAGCAATCCCATAGGGAGGACAGCAAATGCAAAGGTCCAGAGGCAGAGGTTTGGAAGAGAGTGTAACTGAAGCCGGGTGAGCAATGAGAAATTGGTCAGAGAGGTAAAGGGAAAGAGGACAAATAATTATAAGAATTTTGGTTTTTACTCTGGATGAAGTAGAAAGCCACCAGAAAGTTTTCTGCAGAATGTAATGTGATCCGTTGTTTAGAAGGATTCCTTTGGTTATTGGCTTGGTAACAGGTGCTGCTACAAAGGCAGAAAGTGGAAGACCAGTTAGGGTCCCACTACAAAAATGCCAGATGAGATAATAACGGCTTAGGCCATGAGGCAGTGATGGAAATGGTAGAAGTAGCAATTCTAGATCTATTTTGAGAACGGTGCCAGCAGGATTTATTGAGGAGATGAGAGGACACTCGTATTTCCTCGTTTGAGCCTAAACAGGGCATTAGAAGTGTGATCACTATTTCTATCTTACAAAAAATACAGTTAGGAGCATGGTTTCTCAGTTCAACATCTGTTTCTATCACGTGCTTGATAAGTCTGCTTTTCCATCTGCAAAATGGGTTAATAACGTTCCTAACAGGCTGCTACCAAGATCAATGGAAATTTCATATACGAAACACCTTAGTACAAGAGTCAACGAATGTTAGCTGCTATTCAGTTGTTAATAATACTAGTGCAGAGAAATAAAGGGAAAAGCAACTTGCCCAAAGTCCCAAAACAAGCCAACACCAATCATTTCCCTCTTTTCCTCCCTCCCTCATTCATTCATTCTACAAAGTCTTCGGAATTTCTGTTCTACGCTAGATCCATGTTAGAGTCAGGATGCTTAAGCCCGGGTCCGGGTTGTGAGCCCAAGGTTCTCAACGCTAATTCTAACGCTACCTCACAAGGCAGTCGAGAGGCTGAAAACCAGCGCCAAACGGGCGAACAAGTACTGAGCATCCGCAGGCTATGAGGCGCTTTTACAATGTTGGTGTGCTTTAACTCTAGGTAGAAACTCTCGTTCTGCCCCCCGCAATGCGGGAAGGGTCGGTGCCGGGTCACCAGATACAGCGCTCTGAGGGGAGGAAGATGAGCTGAGGGCCAAAGGCCGCCTGCTTCTTCACTTACCGCTTGCAGCAAAGCTCCCGGCGTCGCCTGCTGCTGCCCGGCTCCCGGGCCCGACCCCGCTCCCAGTAGCAACTCATGCCGCTGCCGCTTGACTGGAACCAGCGGCAACTCTGGGCCCTTACGCTTCTGTTGTTCTATCATGGCGGCAACCGGTCTCTTCAGCGCCGCCACTGACCGCGCTGCCCCCCTCAGGCGCCACGCAATTGGTTCCAGCTTAGTCCTTCCTCCACAACTTCCAGCTTGGAAGAACCAATCGGTTTTCAATATACCCATTTGCACTGCCCTCGGATAGTCTCTTGTTATTGGGCATATCTTTCTGACGTCATGAGAGTGCGATTCCAGGATTGGTGGACGGAGCTGGCGACCTCCCTAGGCGCGCTGGGTCTTGTGGGTGGAAACGCGCTGGCTGACTGGGCTCGGCGTTTAGTTCAGCGCCGGGACTCGGGGGCCTGGAGCTGACGCCTAGTACGTATGAGGAAGAGCTGGGTGGGTGGCAGCCTGAGTCTGAAGGCGACGCCTCGGTTGTGCAGTCTGAAGCTGCCCTTCTCAGCTGAGGGTGCCGATAGCAAGGGGTGGGAGGCGGGGCCCCGAGTCCCCAGCTGTGGTAAGTAGTAGCATGGGCTCCCTTTCCGGGCGGGAGCGGAGCCTTGGGGGTCTCTGGCGGCAAGACCCAGTCCCTGCGGCTCCCTTCTTCAAGAGCGCCCGTCGTGGCCAGTCCTGTGCCGGGCATTCCCAGGGAGAAAGGCCTGTGTCCCAACTTCCTCCGGCGCCCCGTTTGGCCGAGGAGGCTGACTTGTTTCTGCCACTGATTTTGCAGTTTTTGATTAGGGCCTAGTCTCTGCCCCCCTGAGAGAGACAATGATGAAGGAAATGTCCGACTCCTTCTCCAGAGCGCAGTCTTGTTGAGAAATTTGAGACTCATGCCCATGAACGTGGTCATTGCGTCAGTCGTCCAGCTGATATTTATTTAGCAGCGCGTTGGGGGTACGTCGTGAACCAGACACGGTCCCTACTCTCAGGGCGTTTAAGTCTGGTGGGGAAAACGTTAAACAATGACCTCACTAATACATGGAAATGCCTCCTAGTGCTGTTTGATGCTGAGTGCCTGAAATAAGCAGGAAGGTTTTTCAGAGGAAAAGATGCCTGCTCTGGTAGCTGCAGGAAGAATTGTAATTAATTAAGTGAAGAGGTAAAGGCAGAACCTTCCGTAGAGAACTACTTGTTCAGAGCCCTGAGGCACTTGGGAGGAAAAATGACTAAAAGCACAAAGAGCCAGTGTGACTGATACAAAGAGAATGAAGGGGAGTATGGTACAAGATGAAGCTGTACGTGATAGCGGTCAGACCTTGCAGGAATTTGTAGCTTTATTTTAAAACGGATGGGATACCACTGAGCCGTCTTCCCCCGGTGGGGTGTGGTGGAGGAGGGGGCTTGATTTCTCAGGCTCAGTGGTGTGAACAGATTGGGGCTGGGGAAGCCCTAGTCGATACATGTGGACCACTTAGGATATACAGTAATCCTGGTCAGAGATGTCAGTGAGGACTGAGAAGTGGGTGGAACTGCAGAGAATTGGACAGATTCTAGAGGTATGTAGGAGGTAAAATGGGCGGAACTTGGTGAAGGGTTGATTTTAGTGAGTGAAGACAGGAATCAAAGGTAACTCATAGGTTTCTGGCTTATGTAGTTGAATAGATAGATGGTGGTACCATTTACTCACTATCACGGAATCCCCCAAGCTGGATAGGGAACACTAGAAGACGACTAGAGACCAGTTTTTTTGTGTTTTTTTTTTTTTTTTTTTTTTTTTTTTTTTTTTTTTGTGGGGGACAGGTTCTTGCTCTGTCGCCCAGGCTGGAGTGCGGTGGCACAATCTCGGCTCACTGCAACCTCCACCTCCCAGGTTCAAGCAATTCTCCTGCCTTAGCCTCCCCAGTAGCTGGGATTACAGTCGCCACCGCTATGCCCGGCCAATTTTTGTATTTTTATTGGAGATGGGGTTCCACTGTATTGGCCAGGCTGGTCTCCAACTCCTGGCCTCAAGTATCCACATGCCTCGGCCTCCCAAAATTCTGGGGTTACAGGCTTGAGCCACTGCTCCCAGCTGAGACCAGTTTTGACTGATTGATTGATTGTGTGGGGTCATTCATGTTATCCAGGAGGCAGTTTGAAACACAGCTTTGTGCTCAGAAGAGAGATTTGTGTTGGGAATATAAAATTGGGGATAATTTGTATGTATGTGAATTGAGCCATAGGTGTGGATAAGGTCACCTAAGTCAGAACCTTGACTAGTTCCAACATTTAATGGTGAAGAACAGGTGGATCAACCTACAGGAGATACAGAAGGAAGGAAGGAAGACTGGAGGAATGTTTCAGAAGCAAAAGAATGATTTGTGATAGAAACTTCTAGAATTTAAGTAACATGAAGATTGAAAAATATATTTTGGCTTTTATCATTGTGGAGGTCATGGTAACGTTAGCAAGAGTTATTTTGTTGGTGTGATTGGGCAAAAAGCCAGATATGAGGCAAGGATTTGGACAAGAAAATGTAGGTAGTGAACCTACACAGTATGTTTCATAGATATGATTGTAAAGAGGAGGAGAGGATGCGCTAACCGATGGAGATAAGGGATTATCCAGGATCCAATTGAGGATACAATTGTGAGAAATTTGAGAATATTGTAGAAGATTTGAAAGTCATTGTGGAGTGTGGGAGAATGAGGTTACTAGAGAAATAGTAGGATGCAAGGAAAAAAAAATTAAAAACTTTTTTCCAGCATATTCAGTGGTTTAGTGCATACATGGAGAAAACCTGTCTGGGTATGGCAAGGACATCGCTTGCTCAAGACACATTCTAACCTCTAATATGTCTTCTCTTACTGAAAAATCTGGAAAACTAAAAACCATTTTCTAGACTCCTTTGCATCTAAGGTGAAAATTGAATTTGGAACCGAGTTAAATGTGGAGAGAAGGAGGGTATGAGTCATCCAGTTTTGCTGCCAGTCATGGCAGTAAGTTCTCCAGTCAACAGCTCCCTGGTTTGGTGACTTGCTGCAGTAATAGCCATAACTTTCTTGGATTGTGGCAAAGGTGGTGTTATTTTGTGGGTTAGGTGTTGTTCCTGGAAGTTCTGCCAAAGTCTGTTATTGCAGTACATCCCTTTCTGCTTAAATGGGTTCTGTTGTCTGCAACTGTCCCTGACCAGGTTAGAGGTACTGCCAGACAGTTAACTATAAAGACAGAGTTAAAGGGAGTTTAGGGTGTTGTTCAAATGATGGGCTATGGAATCTGAGCTGGTTTGGAAGAAAACTGAAGAAAAAGGGGAGGGCTGATAGATTGGAAGAAAATAGAGGCCAATAAATCAGGTTCTAATGAGGTCAAAGAACAGTATTCTCTGCTAGAGGATTTCTGTTTATCCTAAAAGGCTTACTCAGTTATCTGTTTAACTTCCCTATTTCCCCCAGACCCTCTTTTTCTTCCTAGCTACTACTTTTGTTTGTTTGTTTTGAGACAGGGTCTCACTCTGTTGTCCAGGCTGATTACAGTGGCGTGATTATGGCTCACTGTAGCCTTGACCTCCCAGGCTCCAGTGATCCTCCCACCTCAGCCTCTCCAGTAGGTGGGACTACAGGTATGCACCACCATGCCTGGCTAATTGTTGTATTTTTTGTAGAGATAAGGTCTTGCCATGTTGTCCAGGCCGGTCTCAAACTCCTGGCCTCAAGCGATCTTGCCGCCTTGGTCTCCCAATAGTGCTACGATTATAGGCATAAGCCGCCATGCCTGACCGCCGAGCTTCTGCTTTAGCACTTACCACATTGCAGTATAATTGGTCACCATTATCCCTATCAGACTAAGAGGTCTTTGAGAACAGGGACGGTGTTGAAAAGGGTGGTTTAGGCCGGGTGCGGTGGCTCACTCCTGTAATCCCAGCACTTTGGGAGGCCGAGGCAGGTGGATCACCTGAGGTCAGAAGTTTAAGACATCCTGACCAACATGGTGAAACCCTGTTTCTACTAAAAATACAAAAATTAGCTGAGCATGGTGGTGTGTGCCTATAATCCCAGCTACTTGGGAGGCTGAAGCAGGAGAATTGCTTGAACCTGGGAGGAGGTTGCAGTGAGCTAAGATCGCACCATTGCACTCCAGCCTGGGTGACAAGAGTGAAACTCCATCTCAAAAAAAAAAAAAAAAAGAATAAAAGGGTGGTTTAGTGGCAGGTGTGTGTGGCTCTTGGAATGGCCTAAGATTTGTCTCTTTCTTGCTATGTGGTTTTGGACAAGTTATTTCATTCCTATAAAGTAGAATTACTTGCTTTGTAGAGGAGTTTTAAGGATTGAAAGCACGTTTATAAAGTATCTTATATATAAACAACAATCAATAGCATACTGAATTGATCAATTAACAATTTAAATGGGGTAAAATTAAATACTTCACTATTTCAGTAGACAATTTCCATATCTTACACTGTGCTAGGCACTGGAGATTTGGGGAGGAAGGATATGATGTGCAAGACAAGGGCATGCTTACAAGAATTCCACATTCTGCAAAGGGAGGAAAAAAATGTCCCTAAAAATGATTTGAATCCCATCTCCATCATTCATATTTTGCAATCTTGAACAAGTTTACTTAGCTTCTCTTGTGTCCTCATTTTTAAAATGGCAATGATAATTGCCTGTTTTATGGGATAGTCAAGAAGAGAATTATTGAATGTCATGAAGATAAAATTTTAAAAAGAAAATTAAGAGAAGTAAAGCTCTTAGATTAATACATGGCAGATATGACGCACTCAAATATTAGCTATCATAAGGCTTTGAAGAGATCTTAGGAATAATTGACTGAAAGAGTAGTGTTGGGTGGTAGAATAAGTGCTGATCCTGGGGTCTTGTACCAATGTTGCTAACTGTGAGCAGCCTTTGTCACATCACTTGGCTTCATTTTCAGTTGCATATGAGTAGTAGATTTAATTATTTCCGTAATTCCTTTAAGCTTTTACATTTTCTGAGTTCATCTTTTGTGTATTTCCTAGCATTTTACTATTCCTCTTTCCTGCTTTTGGCTATTTTCTCAACAGGTCCATAACTGGAATTTGAAAGGAAGAAGCATCTATCTTACATGGTCACTCTAGAGTTTGGTGGGAGGGAGAAAACTTGGAC